GACTCAAAGACAAAATAGATATTAAAGAAAAAAAAAAGAATACTTAGAGAAAAGATGGAAGAGTTGTGACAGGAATATGGAAGAACTCTGTAACTCCATCAAAAAACCAAATCTGCAAATCATGAGCATTGAAGAAGAAAAGAGGTGCAAGCCAAATGTATAGGAAACATAATCCACAAAGTAATAGCAGAAAACTTTTCAAGTCTTGAAAAAGAGATGCCCATTCAGGTACAGGAAGCCTCTAGGACACCAAACACACATAACCAAAATAGAACCTCTCCATGGCATATTATAGTTAAACCAATTAGCACCGAGAACAAGGAAAGAATATTGAAGGCTGAAAGAGGAAAAAAATCAAATACCATACAAAGGTAAACCCATCAAAATAACAACATATTTTTCAAAGAAATGTTAAAAGCAAGAAGGGTATGGAGTAAGTATTATGAGCACTGAAAGAACACAATTTCAAACCTAGAATACTCTACCCAGCAAAGCTATCATTCATAATTGAAGGAGAAATAAAAACCTTTCACAACAAACAAAAACTAAAACAATGTATGAACACTAAATCAATACTCCATAAGATACTCAAAGGAATCCTAGACAAAAGATGAAAATTAATACAGGAACAAAAGGATGGGAATAACTAAATCTCAGGAGAAGAGCAGACAAGCAATTGTAGAGTAGCAAAGAATCAACTGCACACATACACACACACAAAAACAACAAACTGGCAAGAATCACCACATACCTCTCATATTAACACTGAATGTTAAGGGTCTCAACTGCTCCATCAAAAGACATCAATGGCAAGCTGGATTAAAAAGAAAGATCTGACAATGTGTCGACTACAAGAACTCATCTCACAGACAGAAACAAACATTGGCTTAGGGTGAAAGGTAAAAAAAGACCTTTTAAGCAAATGGCCATAAAAAAACAGCCAGGAGTAGTTATATCAGACAAATTAGACTTCAAACCTAAATTTTCAGAAGAAACAAAGAAGGTCATTTCATACTAATAAAAGGAACACTATGTCAAGAAGAAATAACAATGCATCTTATGTTGGGGTCTTAATTCCCCAATGAAAAGGCACAGAATGGTAGGTGCTTGTGGCTCAGACCTGTAATCCTTCCTAGCTACTCAGGAGGTGGAGATCAGAAGGATCACGGTTCCAAGCCAGCCCCGGCAAATAGTTCATAAGACCCTATCTTGAAAATACCCAACACAAAGCAGGGCTGGCAGAGTGGCTCAATTGGTAGAGCCTGGCTAGCAAGTATGAGTTCAAATCTCAGTAGGGCCACAAAAAAAAAAAAGGCATAGAATGGTGAGCTGGATTGAAAAGCAAGACACACCATTTGTTGCTTACAAGAAACTTACCTCACTGACCAGACAAATATTGGGTTAGAGTGAAAGGATGGAAAAAGATCTTCCAAGCAAATGGACTCTGAAAGCAGGCAGGAGTAGCTAAACTCATATCTCATAAAGCTGACTTCTGACCAAAATTATAAGACACAATGAAGATTACTTCATATTAATAAAGGGAGCAATCCATCAAGAAAAATAATTCTTCACATATATGTGCCAAACATCAGTATACCCAAGTACATTAACAAAGTACTACTGGATTCAAAAGCACAGACTCCAAAACAATAAGATGGGAAATTTCAATACTGCACTCTCACCAATAGGTATGTCATCCAGACAAAAAAAAAAAATCAACAAAGAAACCTCAGAATTAATTGACACGATAAACCAAATGGAGTTAACTAAAATCTACAGAGTATTTCATCCAATAATACACAATATACATTCTCCTCAGCAGCCTTTCTCCAAAATAGGTCATATTTTAAGACACAGAACAAGTTTTAGCAAATGTAAGAAAGTTGAATTAACTTTCTGTATTCTATCAGTCCATAATGGAATAAAACTAGAAATCAAAAGCAAAAGAAACTACAGAAAATATTAAAATACAGGGAGACTGAACAACACATTGTTGAATGATCAGTGAGTTATTAAAGAAATAAGACAGGATGTAGGAAATCCAAAATTTCTTAGAATCTAATGAAAATGAAAGCATAACCAACCAGAACTTCTGAGATACAGCAAAGGCAGGGTTGGGAGGAAAGTTTATAGCTTTGGGGAGAGGTTTTTTTTTTTTTTTTTTTGTCTTTTCTTTTTTGGTGCTGGGATCGAACCCAGGGTCTCACGCATGCTAGGCAAGCGCTGTACCACCGAGCTACATCCCAGCCCAAGTTTATAGCTTTGACAGAAATTACAAATAAATAATCTAATTATGCACCTTAAGCTCCCAGAAGAACAAGAATAAGGAAAACCCAAAACTAGAAGACAGAAAGAAGTAATACAAATTAAGGCAAAAATGATTGAAATAGACAAAAAATACAAAGAATTAATGAAACAAAAAGTTGGATCTTCAAAAAATTAATGAGTGATATAAGCCCTTAATCAATCTAATTAGAAGGAAAAGAAATGATGTAAAAATTAATTAGAACTAATTTATTAATAAAAATTAGAGATTAAAAGAGGAATCATGACAAATACTAATGAAATATGGAGGATCATGAAGGAATATTTTGAAAACTTATATTCCCGTAAACTGGAAAATTTAGAAGAAATGCATAAATTTCTACATGCATTTGATCTACCAAAATTGAACCAAAAGGAAATAAGCCACCTAAATACATTTATAACAAGCAATGAGATTGAAGAAATAATAGTCTCTCAACAAGGAAAAACCCAGAACTCAATGGATTCATTGCTGAATTCTACCAGACCTTTAAAGAAGAACTAATATTTACATACCTCAAACTTTTCCATAAAGTAGAAAAAGAAGGAATATACCAAACACATTCCATGAAGCAGTATTACACTCATTCCAAAAGAGGAAAAGGACACACACAGAAAAAAGAGAATTATAGATCAGTCCCATTAATGAACACAGATGTAAAAATTCTCAACAAAATACTTGCAAACCATACTCACAACACACAACACATCAAAAAAGATCATATTCCATATCAAGTTGTTTTCATCCCAGGGATGCAAGGGTGGTTCAGCATACATAAATTAATAAATGTAATACAGCATACAAACACAATCAAGGACAACAAGATAAACATCTAAACTGATACAGAAAAAGGTTTTGACAACATACATCATACTTTCAAGATAAACATAATGACAGCCATATATGACAAACCTACAGACTATATCATACTAAATGGGGGAAAACCGGAATCATTTCCTCTAAAATCAGAAATTAGTAAGGGTGTCCACTCTCTCCCCTCAAGTACTGGAGTTTCTTGCCAGAGCATAAGGCGATAAAAAGAAATAAAGGGGATCCAAAAATGGAAGAAAGAAGTCAAATTATCCCTATTTGAGATGATATGATGCAATACTTAAAAGAACTTAAAGATTCCACCAAAAAACTCTCAGAGCTGATAAAATTTTCGGCAATGTAGCAGGATACAAAACCAGCGTACAAAAATCAGTTACTTTTCTATCTACCAACAATGAATAGGCTGAGAAAGAAATCAGGAAAACAATCACATTCACAGTAGCCTCAAAAAATAAAAATAAAAATAAAAATAAAATACCTAGGTATAAACTGAGCTGAAGGACCTCTTCAGTGAAAACCACAAACCTTGAAGAAAACTATTGAAGAAGACCCTAAAAGAAGGAAAGGCCTCCATGTTCACAGACTGGCAGAATTAATATCATGAAAGTAGCTATTCTACCAAAAGCAATCTACAGATTCAATGCAATGACCATCAAAATTCCAAAGTCATTCCTCACAGAAATAAACAAATAAATCTTAAAATTCATATGGAAACATAAAAGACCCCAAACAGCTAAAGTAATCCTGAACAAAAAGAACAATGCTGGAGGCATCATAACATCACACTTCAAATTATACGTGAAGCAATGTTCAATATCCTTAGTCACAAAGGTAATGCAAATCAAAACTACCCTAAGATTCCATCTCACCTCGGTCAGATTGGCAGTCATCAAGAACAAACAATAAAAGCTGGCAAGGACACAGGGATAAAGAAGCTAGTATACTAGTACAACCACTATGGAAATCAGTATGAAGGATCATCAAACAGCGAAAAATAAACCTACGGTATGACCTAGTTATACCACTCTTGGGCACATATCCTAAGGAGTGTAAATCAAAATATGAGACACCTGCCATCCATGTTCATCACAGCTTCTAAACACCTCACTGAGGTCAGCTGCCATAGAAATGAAGCCCATACAAAGTGTTGTACACACTGGTCACCAATGAGACAAGAGCTCTTAGAACTTCACTTGAGAAATGAGTTCATCCTTTGGTGTCTCTTCACAAATTTTTAAAAAAATTTAATCAATATAATAATACTTTAATCAATGTAATACCAACATAGTTTAAAAACAAGAAGAAATTCATAATCCCCGTTTGTCCTATACAATTGCTATCATTTTTTATTTTTCTACACAAACATGTAATTTTGCAACTGAAGATAATACATAACTTTTATATCATGAGTTTTTTTACTTATCATCCTAAAATTTTCATCCTGTTGCCACACAGGATTCCTAACTGTACATAATGGCTGCAGAATATCCCACCAAGTTGTTGAACCATAATTTAACAAACTATTCTGAAATTGTTGTTCCTAGTTTTCTATTACTACAGCATTCCATTTACTTTTTCTTCCTTTGGAGTATCTTACTAAAAGTAAGATTAAAGTCCCTGATGTGAGATTACTGAGCTCAAGTACAGAAACACAGAGCCTTTATAAAAAGGCTGTTTTCTTTTTGCTGTTGTTGTTGTTTCGAGCCTGTTGCCCAGGCTAATCTCAAACTCCTGGGCCCAACTGATCTTCCTGCCTTGGCCTCCTGAGTAGCTGGGACCACAGGCACATACCACATCTGGCTTGCCCTTAACACAGAATGCCAAATTGCTCTCCCAAATTGATGACACCAATTGCAGCACTTACTCTCTTCACAGCTCCTTCCCCAACGCACTTTAACTGCCTCACTTCTGTCCTCAGCTCCTTACAGGACAGCCAGGGCGAGCAGTTTTTCATGTGTCCCATTCTGAAGTAACCATAGGGACAGAGCCCAGGGTCCTCAGTGGATCGTCGAGGGGAAATAAAAAATCGATCGAGGCAGAGGTAAAGGAGCACATTCATGAGGGCCATGGCAAGCAGCAGCCCAGCAACCCGGGGGACTGCTCTGTGGGTGAGACCCTTCCTGCTCTCCTGGGGTCTCCTTTCCATGTTGTTATCCTGTGTCAGTTCCTATAATATAATATGAGACAAGGAGTAATAAGTGTCTGCATTTATTTCCATGAAGGGGTTCTGATGACACTGGTGGCCACACCTCTCATAGGTAAGTGAGTTTTGGTATCACTGTAAGGAGTAAGGTTGCTACTCAATATTAGAATCACTATTCTTTATTAAAAAACTAAAATTTGGATGCACCCACATTAAATCAGACTAGAAGGGAGATGTCAGTGTCTGACTTTGCCTCATTCACAGTATTTTATACTAAGTAGATATTCATAAGTATTTAGTAAAATAAAAACAAAATTGAAAAAGGAAAAACAAATAAAATAAAATAAAATAAAAACAAAATGTCTATTGTTAATTCAGTGGGGCTGGGACAGAAGATAGAAAAGATTAGTTAGGGTAGCAAGGTAGGTAAGTAGGAGCCTCTTGAACCTAGCTAAAAAGTTAGGATGTTCCTTAGAAGGCACTCAAAGCCCCTAAGCAGGCTGGAAATGTAGCTCACTGGCAGGGCATGTACAAGGCCCTGGGTTCCATCCCCAGAAAAGAAAAACAAAAAAAGTTCAGGTTTGTTTTTGTGGTTCTAATGATTGAACTCAGTATTACACATAAGCTAGATGAGTACTCTACCCTGAGCTACACAGCCATCCCAAATCCTGAACATTTTAAAGATATGAAAGGTAGATTTGGAGTGAAAGAGACAGGCTCTGAAACTAGTTGGGAGGCTCTGGTAATAATCCTGGGTAAGAGTGGACAAATTTCTGAGCTAGAATAATGGTGATGAGATCACAAAGATAACTCAGTTGACACTGGTAACCAAAGACTCCAGCACTGGAGCCACAGTAAGGCTACAGTGGAGGTATCTGTATGGGGGCAGCAACTCCTTATGAAGCAGAATAGAAGCACATCAATACAACAGATATGGCCATATTGGTGTGTGCCAGCTGAGTATCATCACACTGAGAGGCACAGAAACACTTGGGACAGAACTGCCCCAGTGCTCCTTGCCCCAAAACAACGGTGACATGAAGTGTTACCTTCCAGGAGCGTCTTCCTTCTCCCAGCTAGATCTCCATCCAGATGCTGCATCAATCAGTGTTCTGGTTGGTCCCAGGGACTTGTGTGAAGTCCTCTGCCACAAAGAACCGAAAAAGGAGGTTTGTTAAAGAAAAACTGCAACTCTGCATACAAATCACAACTGTCCGAATGGTTCACCTTTCCCAGGGGCCTTCTAGTGCCTATGTGTCCCCCAAGGCTCTCGAACCCCAGGATGGCCCAGCAGCCACAGGACAGTCCTCAGACAGCCTGGCCACCATCATTAAAGCCCTGTCAGCTTTGCAGGCTCAGAGCTTCCTCAGCCCCTTCTGTTTCTCCCACTTCTGCTCCCTGTACTTCCATTACTGTCTTCCACTCATCTACTCAACACATATGAAATCAGCTTCGGGAGCTCATCTCTATATCTCTAGACATGGTTCTTATCCTCTTGGAGCTTCAGGGAAAATCTAGTGGGGAGGGCAGACAATAAGTTTGCCATTATCCTGTGATGAGAGTTCAAGGATAGACAATAACTAGATAGGAAACTCTCTGGATGAAGCAACCCAGACCAGAGACCTAGCCAAGGAGAGATCAGAGGACTAAGGAGTCAGCCATGAAAAATTCAAAACTCAGGCTCTTTCATAGTTTGTCCTGGAGAAAGTGAAATTTACCTACCATTTATTGAGCTGGGGCAATAAACACCAACTATGCTGGCCATAGTCAACAGTAAATAGCATTTGTAAGGACATGCCACAGCTAGAAAGTGTCAAATACATATAAACCCTCTTTGAAAAGTGACTACTTTCATACTATTGAGAACCTTTTTTCTCCACAATCACCAGAAATTGTAGCACTTAAAAGTCCTATCAGTAAGAATGAAACAGCACACTCTTGCCTGGAGGATCTAAGTCACTCTGACACAGAGAAGCAGCCTTGAGTTCTAAACCAGCACATCTTCAGATATAGAGTTTCCGAAGATAATCCTGCATATTTATGTCTCTAGGAAAACAGGACCCTGGGTCCACTTTGCAACCCAGACTAGAACTCGACTCCACACACTCAGCCCTACTTGGCTTTAAGCCCATCAAAAGCACTACTTCGTTTAAACTTTCCATCTCCCAAAGTCCATAACTTTTCTTTCCCTTTGTGACATCCAAGTCCCACTGGTGTACGGTCTCACTCACAGCAATGAGTTCATAAGCCTAAATATTAGTTCCAAGAGGTCTTAGGCTGGACTAAGTCACCCTCTCTCTTCAAATCTATATCCCCACCTTTGCTCTGAGCTCATGATCTTTTTTCCTGTTTCACTAAAAACAGAAGCAATTAGAGAGCATTTCCACAAGTTCCCAGGTACTTGCATGCACTACCTTCTCTTCTGTTACTATGAAACTGGATACAGTCCTAGCTCAGGAAATCACACTATACACAAGATCCCTCCCTCATGCCTGCTCATCTCCAGCAGTTCTCTCCTCTTCTTAATCATTACCAGAATGACTTCCACATTGTCTAAAACACCCCATCTTCACCCTAACTTTCCATTTCAGCTACAGTCACAGTCCTCTTGTCCCTTTTCAGCAAGCTCCATAAGAGTACCCAAATCCACTCTCTCATCATTGCTGTCCTCTCCTCTCCACCTCACTGCTAGTCCACCCAAACTGACCTCACTTTGCCAAAGACCTCACCAAACACAGCAGTCAATATGCAGTCCCCAGTGTTACCAACCCATCAGCAGCAGCATTTGGCATGGCTGACCCATCCCTCTTCCTTAGAATATCTCCCTTACTTGGTTCCCAGGAAACCACGGTTAGTGGCTCTTCCTCATCTCTCCAACCATGTGCAAGGTACTCTACGTTTGGACCTTAAACCTCTCCACTCACTCCCTGAGTGATCTCACCAGACTTGTGACTTTCCATCCCCAATATCTCCACTTTTCTGATGGACCCAGAAGTATGGTTCCAATTTCAGCCTATCCAAGAACTCAAGGCTTGCTTATTTGACATCTCCTTTTGGATATCTGATAGATAACTTAAAAATACTCCCCTCAACAGTAAAAGTATAACTTAATTTTCAAATGGGCAAAGGACTTCACTACACATTTCTCCAAAGAAGATATACAGATGGCCAACAGGGACATGAAAAATGCTCAATTTTATTAGCTATCAAGACAATGCAAACCAAAATTATAAGATACTACTTCATGCCTACCATGATGGATTATAATAAAAAAATTAATCAGATAACGAAGTGTTTATGAGGATGTGGAGAAATTGTAATCCTTATACACTGCTGGAGTGATGTAAAATGCAGTCACTGTGGGAAATAATCTGGCATTTCTATGTTAAGCCCAGTCAGTTACTGTATCACTCAGTAACTCTACTGCTTAGAATATGTCCAAGAGAACAAAGAACACACATTTATACAAAAACTTGCACATGAATGGTCTTTAGCAGCACTATTTATAATAGCAAAATAGTGGAAATAATCCAAATGTTTATCAACTCATGAATGGATAAACAAAATATGCTATATCCAAAGTAGAATTATCTACCCATAAAAAGGAATGAAACACCAATTCATGCTGCAATAGGGATGAACCTCAAAAACAAAAAAGGCCAGTCACAAAAGGCCACATGTTATGTGATTGTATTTATATGAAATGTCCAGAATAGGTAACTTTATATAGACAGAAAGTAGATCAGTGGTTGCTAAATGTTAGAGATGGAGAGATAGGGAATGGTTACCAATGGAAATGGGATATCTTTTGAATAAAGAATTCTGGATTTAGTAATAAAAGTTGCACAGTGTTATAAATATATTTAAAAATCAATGAACTGTATACTTTAACATGGTGACTTTTTTGGTATGCAAATTATATCTTAACTTAAAAATGGTAAAACTATCTCCCAAACTCAACTTCTAATCTTTTCCCCAAAACCTATTCTTTTCACACTGTCCACAGCCCAGTAAATGAAAGCTTTCTCCATCTAGTTCCTGGGCCAGTGAGGTTGCAGGCCAAGGAACAGCATGACACTGTTGCCTCTAATCAGGAAATGTTAGAAACTGCCTCTTCTATAGTTTGGTGTTAACAAAAGAACATGTTCTTGTTTATTCATGCTGTCAGGAAACCTTGACCATGGAATTAGTTCAGTTTCACACAATAGCCTCCCTTTGTTCAACATGAGGCCATCTGCTCACTGGCCCTGCTGTCTGTCTCCCTAGTACACTATCAGTATTCAGGAGGGTCACTTGCCTTCCTTTCTCATAAAGACTCTAGGCCCACACCATCCCCTCATGTCATCATCAGAAATTTCAACTAAAATTGTGGCAGCTCTCATGACTCGGGCTCAGTCTCCTGAGCTTCTTCCACATAACCCTGATTCTCAAAAGGTACTCACTTAAAGAAATAGATAAAAGCTAACCAAGTGCAATGGCTCACACCTGTAATCCCATCTACACCAAAAGGGAAGATCAGGAGGACTGCATTTCAGACAGCCTGGGCAAAAAGTTGGCAAGACTCCCATCTCAATCAATAAACCAGATATGGTGGCATACGCCTGTGATCCCAGCTATACAAGAGACCAGAGGTAGAATTGTGGCCTGAGGCTAGCCTGGGGGCAAAAAGCAAGACCCTATCTAAAAAATAATCTAAAAGCATAAAGGGCTGGCAGCATGCATGACAAAAGTGGCAGAGCACTTGCCTACCAAGTACGAGGCCCTAAGCTCAAAACCCCAACACCACCACAAATAAAAACTAAAAATAGGAAAAATAAATATTATTCATCTATCTTCTACAGTATTTAAAGTGACCAAGTGTGTCTCAACTTTGACCTTACGTCAGAAAGATGCAAACTTTTTCTCTAAAGTACCAATGGTAAATTTAGGCTTAGGAGTCAAAAATCAAAATCAAGTGATAACCACATCATTCATCCATAATACATTGAGAGGTGGTACAAAGCAATGTCAGGCCCCATACTGTCTCAGTCACACTTACTCAACTCTGTCACCAGAGTGTGAAAGCAACCCCAAACAACATAAACATTTATAGACACTAAAATCTGAATTTTATATAGTTTTCATGTGTCACAATATTCTTTCCTAGACCCAATCCCTGCCAACATGCAAAAAAATAAAAAAGCATTCTTAACTCTCAGGCTATACAAAAACAAGCAGTGGGCCATAGCTGGCCAAACCATTAGGTGATGGTATTCCTCCAGGTCTGTCACTGGCCAAGACACTCTCATCCTTGCAGTGGCTTCAGTGGCCTCCTAAAATGCTTAGGATTTCCAAGTCTGTACTACAGCTCACATCTCCTAATTGCTCCACTCAGCAGGCGCTTCAAAGCCTTAGTGTCCACAGCTAAACTCAGCATCTCCCTCCTTCCCCCAGCATGTCCCTTCTCTGAAGCTCCCACACTCTCAAATAAACTGGGGTGACTCAATTCCTCCCTCCTTTGACCTCAAAACCAACCAATTACTATATACAGCTAGTTCTGTCACCCAAATCTCTCAAATCTGTTCATAATTGTTCTTCCCTGTGGCCTTCACCCTGGCACAGCTTCAGCATCTCTTACTTGGACTTCTGCAACTTGTTTTGTGTGGTCTTCCCCTTCTTCCTTTTCTCCAACCCATTCTGTACATAGTGGACAGGATCGTTTTTCTTTAATGAAATGTTTCAAGAGAAAAAAATAAAATCATGAACACCCATTTGGTTTTGTCAATTTTGTTCCAATCTTTTTCCTATCTTGGCACTGGGATCCAAGCAGCATCTTGGATCTCAAGCAGGCCAAACAACACTTTACCACTGAGCTACATACCCACTCCAGTTTTTGTGAAAGAAACAAAATAATACATATATAGTAAAAGCCCCTTTGGACCCCTCCCCATACCAAGCTATCACAGTCCTTATCTTGGTGTACATTAGCAGTTCTCAAGGTGTGGGCCCTGGACCTGTAGTATTGCCTCACCTGGGAACTTGAGAGAAAAGTATTGGGTGCTCACCACAGACCCACTGAGTTAGAAACAAAATCTGTTTTAGTTAGTTCTCCAGGCAATCTGGATATATGAGAACCTCTGTGCAAATGATTCCCCTTTATGCTTTCTAATTTCACAAGTGTGTGTCCACAAGTAACAACACATAATGTTTTCAAGCTTTATACAAATGGTGATATACAGGTATTATACCTTTTCAACTAGCTGTTTTTGTAAGACGAACATTATGTTTTTGAGATTTATTCAAGTAGATACATGAAACTCTAGTTCACTATTTTCAACAGCTTGGCTATAGCACAATTATGAAACAATTTTTCTTTTTTTTTTCTGGAGACTGGGTTTCAGAGGCCCAGGCTGGCCTCAAACTCAGGAGCCTCCTGTCTCAGACTCCTGAGTGCTGGAATTATAGGCATGTACCACCACACTCTGTTTGAGGCAAGTTTTGGGCACATCTTATGCATATGTGTTGCTCTCTCATATATACAAGGCAATCCTTCTAAAACACGGATTTAATCCCCTCTGGATTACACACATTCAACAACCCCCACTCTGCCTTCAGGAAAAATCCAAACTCTTAAAAGGTCACCCAGAGGGGCTGGGGATGTACTCAGTGGTGGATCATGGGTTCAGCATGTGTAAGTCCCCAGGTACCTCAGCCAGAGAGATGTCCTCCCTCTACACCAATTGAGCCTTCCTCAGCGCTCAAAGGCATCCTTTTGGGGATACCAAAAACATCTGATGGGCTTTGTTCTTTTAGAGGCGTATTTCTGGACCAAGCTACCCAGAGCGTAGGATGGGGCTGTGTGGGTGAAGAACATTTCTAGTTCAAAAATAGAAGGAAAAAAACCCACTAAGATTTACTGGCCCTGAAAGACACTCTGCACATCTGCACATTAAGAAATAATGATTATGGGGCCAGCTGGACAGAAGAAAGTCAGGCACTGTTTAAACACAAAGGACATTAATAAGAAAAACTTGTAACGGGATCCACTGCTCTGTATTTACACCTAATTTATTAAAAGAAAAGTAGTGGCACAAAGTAAGTTACCAATTTACAGAATATTCTATGCAACTCGGGGAGAAACAGATTGGTAGTCGCCCAATACAATTCAGAGTATAATCTCATCTCGCCAATGAGGCACAAGGTACATGGATTACTTAATATTCCGCATGCTCTCTTGGCTTCGGGGTTCTATAGTAAAGGCAATAGTAGAGAAGACAGCACTACTAAATAAAATGGAAACTTTTTAATTAAAAAGAGCGGCACACTGCCTCCCTCAACACGGTCCTGGCCTGCGCGATCCGGACAACAAACGCCCGGAAGAAAGGGCTGAAGCCGGTCCCCGGCAGAATCCTCGATCCTTCGCAGCCCAGGCACAACGAGTATCCCCAGTCCTGCGTAGCCCAGGGAGAGGCAGACCGGCCGGGCTGGGTGCAGACCCGCAGCCTCTGGGCCCAGAGCCGCTCCGCGCCACGCCACGCCACCCGGCCCTACCTGGTGGCCTGGCTCCCTACGCGGGCACCGACCCCGTGTGGGCCCACAAGCGGCCCACTGCGCATGCGCCTGCGCGCCGGAAGCGGCTCGAGGGAGAGTGCGAGGCTACGCCTTGTCCGCCTGCGCAGCGTCCGTAGGCCGGAAGCCAGGGGCCAAGCCGGAGCTTGAAGGCGCTCTGGTGGCTTAACCGGATCTCCTGCTGGTATTTTCCTTTTCCGTTTGGTTAACACCGTAATGTGTTGACTGGTTCTTGTTGTAGCCTAGTGCAGGGTGCTGTGGGCAGATGCTGTAGGACCTAGACTCGTGATAAAGCGGGGTTCCGAAGGACGGTCAGCGAATCCAAACGCAAGCTCCGGATCAGATCTAGGGATACTGATGCCAGAGGAATTTGGGAACCACCCAGACGAAACTGCTCATCGGCTTTCCCCAAGAGATGAGAAGATGAGAACCTGACTTGGGGAAGGAAAGGAAGCCATGGGAATGCTGGAATGGCTCCACACCCTTCCTGGTATTTGTACCTGGCCATAAAATGACTGCCTAATGCTTGCAAAATGAGCGTAGGATGATGTAACTTGCTTGTTTAACTTATAAGTGTCTCTGTTTCTGCACTGACCCATCTTCCGAGTTTGAAAGCACGAAAATAATAACGATGTGATTGAAAAATCGAATCTGTACCAATAATCCAAACTGAGTTTAAAATAACTACAAGTATACACAAAGCCCTGGGTTCCATCTCTAGCACCAGAGAAGGAAAAAAGAAACAGCAAAAAAACCTACAAAACCCTTTACCTATCAGACTGATAAGTAGCGACAACAAAATTAAAAATTAGCAACACATACTAACACAATGCTGATGTCCAGAGTCTGTTTCCCTACCTCATACATGGTGTAAATTGGAAGAAACTGTTCCAGTTCCTCCTCCAGGTCCCAGCAAGTGCCACTTCCAGGAGTCTGTCCTGTGAAAATCATTAATACATGCGCAAGATGTATACACAAGAGAGCCTGTGGAACATTGTCATAGTAGAAAATAGAAACTTTGAAAGTATAACAGGAATGTCTGAAAGAAATTACATACATTTAAGGGATGGCTTTAGGAAACCATTAAAAATGATGCAGTTTAATAGGTATAGACTTTCAGTTTGAGAAGATGAAGGTTTTGAAGAATAGTTGCACAACAACATGAATGTACACTTAATGCCACTGAACTATACACTTAAAAATGGTTAAGATAGCATTGTTATGTATAGTTACTACAACAAAAAATTATACTGCAAACCTATATGTATTGACTTGAAAGGATATTCCTAATATATTGATGGGGGGAACCAATCCCATGTTTTTAAATTATTTTTGTAGTGCTGCGTATTGCATGCTAGACAATCGCTTTACCACTGAGTGTAGTCTCATGGCCAGCGTGTGCAGGTCCCTTGACCTGACTGGGAGCGACTGGCGAATGAGAAAAAAGACACAGAGACAGACATACAGAAAAGCTTGGGACTGTGTGGGTCCAGCACTCCTGATGAGAGATGCCGGTGACCCCCTCCAACTACAAGCGCATTTATTTATACAGCATGTATGGAAAAGCAGTGTGAAATGCAGGTCGAGTTCTCAGAGGCAGCAGGAACAAGGGCAGCTGTGGCATGTTGTTATTTACTGCAGACTAACCTGACTAGGTCAGCGTGCCCTGTTTTCCCTGCAAGGCAGCCTTGCTGAACCTTGCCTCCTCTTGGCTGGGTCCCTACCTAGCAACCAAGGGGCCCTTTGACAGAGCCATGCTCATGCTTCAGTCTCCCTACTTGCATGCAGCCTTGCTGAACCATGCTCACCTCCTTTGTGCCAGGCCTTGCCTTCTCAGCACAAAGGTATTTGACACGGCCTTACACATGTCAAAGTTTCTTCTCAGTCTATTTGGTTACTGGTCTCCCACACTGTATCCCCAACCTTTTTTATTTTTGAGTTTCCCAAGCTGGCCTCAAACTTGCTGTCCTCCTGCTTCAGTCTCCCAAGTAGCTAGTACATATAATACATATTATATATATATATATATATATATATAGATACACACTTTTTACAATGGTTACCTCTAACAAAAATGATTTGGGATAATTTAAATTATATTTTGATTATATGTACTTTTTAATGTTTATGTAATTGATATGTATTGAGATACATACATATGTATATAAAAGAAGAACCTGGTGGCAGGATAAGAAGTAATAGAAGGAGACCATTTAGGAGACTGATGAAAAGAACCTGTTAAGAAACTTTGAGAACTGGCCAAGTGGCTCAAGTGGTAGAGTGCCTGCCTAGCAATTGTGAAGCCGTGATTTCAAACCCCAGTCCTGCCACAAAAAAGAAAAGAAACTTTGAATATGATTGAATATGAGACTTTGAAGGGAAAAAAAGTCAGGTGTTAAAAAGTTACCATATACAGGGGACTGAAGAGAGCAATAAGTAAAATTAAGTGTAATCAGTTGTGCTGTAACACATTTTAAAGATTCAAATTTATTTCAATATGATAAATATATTAGGAAATAGTATGAGCATAATACCAATTTCCCATTTGTTTATGTGCCATTTTATCTGTAAAAGCACTAGGTAAAATACAAACAACACCAACCAGCATCTTCAGTTTGTGTGTATTATGAGCTACATCCACAACTCAGTTTTCAGATGACTTACTCTACCGCTTCACATTCTGCCCACTTCGACAAGCAAGCTTCATGTCTTTTTGAAGGTAAAGTACCATATTTATTAACATACTTATGTCAGTGGTTTCCTAACCACTGACGTGTAAAACTGTGCTGTCATTTTATCTTTTCTTTATCTGGTTTAAGATTTTGAGTATTATATCCTAATCCCATTTCTGCCATAAACCCCATGATTTTTATTCATGGTTTTTCATAGCATGATGAAACTTAGGAACGCATATATACATAGTCTTAACAGAATTGACTGTACAAGTATTTCAGCTGAGTTTCAGGTGGAAGAACAGTAATACCATCCAAACAGCAAGGAGATGATATTTTGAAATTGAAACGGAGTAGTAATTCAAATTAACATCCAGAAGGAGGTTACCTCTCTGGTGAGAGGGCAAAAATAAAGATTCCCTGAGATGGGGATGTTACTCAGTGCTGGAGAACTTATGTAGC